TTGGCTTCTAATTTAAGTTGGTATTTTTGTTTAAATAATTTGCTTAAACTATTTCTCTTGCTCTATATTTTTTTTTTTTTTTGGTATGGGGGCAGGGGGTGGTGGTCAAACTCAAGACCTCAAGATTGCCAGGCAGGTGCTGTGGCCCTGAGCTAAATTCCCAACCCCACTTCCATCCTTTTGAAGCCAGAATATAACTCTGTGCCTATCCCTAAGCCCAGGAGGGCTGTTTGCAGAGGCTGTGAGCAGATCTTGGATGTGCAGGGTGAGAAGTACACAAGCAGAGTTCTTAGGTTGTGGGAAAGGAGCAGGAATAAGTGGCCTGTGGCCAGCTTTCCCTACACTACTGTCGTCCAGCACTGATTTCCACAGCTAGAATTGTAAATTTCATCCTGGCCTCCAAAACATTTTTCAAGAAAGGATAGACTATAGTTTGTTTAACAGGTTGATAAATTTGGTTTATTACTTGCAAGTATCTTGAGTCTCAATTTTGAACATGCAGTGTGTGGACATCCATTTGTAAGTTGGACCCCATAAATGTTAAAGGTGGGACTGCATGGATATGGAGAATGGCTAGAAATGAATCTATGAACACAGGGCAGCAGAGGATTTTGAAGGCCAAAGTCACATCAGGAAGCTTACACCTTGTCCTGAGGACTAATAGCAGAAGCTAACAAGAGCTGACTTTAAGCTAAACATTTTATATGCATGACCTTTAACTGCCATGACTCAAAAACACAATAAAGTCAGAATAAAGTCAGATATCCCATAAATGAGGATATTCCATAATGTGACTTAGAAAGCTTGAAGAACCTGCCTCAGGGTCCAGAGTTGCTGGGGTGTTAAGGTTCAGACACAGACCTACACTCTTAGCTGTCGCACAAGCTGTCTCCCAGGGCAGTGGAGAGCCACTGACATTTTAATACCTGAGTGTCAAGATCAGACACATGCAGGGAAGCTAGTGAACTGAAGGAAGGCAAGATAATGGCGTATAGCCGGGGATTTAGCTCAGTGGTTCCACTGCCTGCCTCACAAGCTCAAGGACCGGAGTTCGATCCCCGGTACCAAAAAAAAAAAAAGATAGTGGCGTAGAGCGACCCCATGAGAGCTGGCAGCTTGTCCTAGGGCAGTAGCCATGGGAAGCATCAGGAGTGGACGCATCTGCCTTACTCTTGACTGTGGAAAGCCAGCCAGGGCTGAGCTCTACCCCCAGACCTCTCAGACACGGAATCCGGAAGGGAGGCTGGAAATAGTGGCATCACAGGAGCCTAAAGGGAAGGTGTTTCTTCCCACATCCTTCCCCCTGCTCTTGGCTATTCTGACAGAGCAGAACAGGTTGCATCAACAGGAGACTGGCAGCTCCACACAGAGGAGCCAGGTCCAGACTTGACTGAGGCATTGACATTCCTGGAGGAGGAGGGATTCAGCAAAGAATGCGCCTGAGGGGACCTTGAGGAGAAGTGTGACCCTGGGGCGCCAGCCACAATGCTGAGCTGATAGGCCTCTGAGTTATGTCCTGTAGATCAGAGAATTGAGATGTGATGGGCCTTAGGCCAGATTTGGACCCCACAAGCCTGGCAGTGTCACCTAGCAGCAGGCAAACCTCCAGTGCCCATACCCATCTGCACGTGCCAGAGGGATAATATGGCACCCCCACTGGAGTGCCTGGATATGTGCAGGTGTGGACCTGTGAAGGTGTGGATGAGCGCAGGTGTGGCTGTTTGCTGGCCTTTTTTTGTGGTGGTTGACATTGCCAACCACACCCTCTTGGCTTCTGCAACACTGTCGTGATAGTGAAATTTATTAAGTTCTCATTGTACACCAGACACTGCTAGATGCTGTAAACTGCATAGCATCTCATTTAATCTTAGTGCTCTGGGAAGTGGGTCTTGACATCTTTGTTGTATGCAAGAGGAACTTGAGGCTTAAAGAGATGATGTGATGTGCCTCAGGTCACAGAGGTGTAGAACCGGAATGTGAGTCTTGGTTTTCCACACTGCAAAGCCTGCACAGTGGTATGCAAAAGCTTATGTGTCTGTGCCTGTGTACTCTCTTTTCTGAGAAGAGGAGCTATGGGGTTTTTGTTTGTTTGTTTTTAGGAGACAGGCTGAGGTTTTGTTAGTACCCCATACTTCAGTGGATGGAGAAACAAAGAAATATCAAATCTCATCTGGATATTAGTGTTTTTCCTTCCCTGAAGTTCCTGAGGAAGCTCCACCTCAGGACACTGACCAGTAGTAGAAAAGAAGAGAAGAAGCAATGAAGTGCTAGTGACAGTACCCTGTACTCTGATGGGCTTGAGCCCTACCTAGCACAGGGCTCCTTTCTCCCAGGGCTTGACATTGCCCTCAGCCAGCGCTGCCAGTCTACAGCTGGTCTGCCCAGACAGGGGCTTCTCCCCAGTTCTGCATTTCTCCACCTTCCCATTCATTCTAGATCCTGTTGTCCTGTCTAACACACACACACACACCTCCCAGAGACACAGGAACAAAAGGACACAAGAGCAACATGAACTTGGCATCTGCTCACTTAGTCGGATGGGCTGAGACTAAGATGTCTGGCCTGCCGGTTTATCTTTTGAGCTGACCCATGGAGGACAGAAAGTGTCTGCCAGAGAAAGAAATGTTGCTGCAGAGGTGAGAGAGAGGAAGAGGGAATGGCTGGAGCCAAGACAGTCCAGGGAAAGGGCAGCCGCAGAGGAGGCCCAGCAGGGACCATTTCTGCTGTGGATGTCATGTCCCCTATTAGTACTCAGGATGCCTCCTCAATGCCCATACTGGGCTGGGTCCTGGCTTACAGGAATGAATCCAGCGGGAGCCCTGTCCTATAGGGTACAGGTACACAGCACACTGCTGGTGTACACTCAACCTGAATAATTTCATTTAATTCTCACAGCAACCCACAGGTAAATACAAATAGTGCCCCTGGTTTATCCATAAGAAGCCTACGTATTCCTGGCCCAAGATCACCACACAGTAAGTGACCAGAGCTAAAGGTGGATCCCAAGAACAGTCTTTTGTTTGTTCGTTTATTCTTTTTTTTTTTTTTTCTTGGTACCAGGGATCGAACTCGGGTCCTTGCACTTGTGGGGCAGTGGAACCACTGAGGTAAATCCCTGGCACCTATTTGTTTATTCTTTGAGAGAAGGTCTCGCCGTGCAGTTCAGGCTCTCCTTGAACTCACAGTGATCCTACTGCCTGAGGTTTCTGAGTGCTGGGGTTCTAGGTATGTACCACCACGCCCAGCAAGACCAAGGATCTTAACTCTGTGTTTTATTGCTTCTTGAAGGATACCTGTCAGTTCTGCCTTGGGTTGAAGAGGGTCAGGAAGGACATGAGTAAGAGGCAGATGCTGGGTAAGATGGATCACATGGGGGCAGGGATGGAACACTGGAGACCACAGAGAGCAGCAGGAGCATGGAGGTGAGAATTAGCTAGTGGCAACTTCAGAG